GGGAGGGGGGGGGCATATTGCACCTGATACCAGCCAAGATTCCACCTGTCAACTCTTGTAAATTCATGTGAAAGCCATTTCATGAGCTATTTCATGAGTATACAAGTGTGACAGATTTTACCATGTTGGCGGACCAGCTCGCTCCACTTCACAAGAGTCCACATGTTCCACCAAACTGAGACTTATAAACCTCTACTATGAAAGCAGCGAAAGGTGAAAATTCCCCTGTCCCTCCTCACTTCCTCTGTCACTCCTCAAATCTCCACAGACGCCTTCAGAGGTGCCCATTAAACAGTAATGATACGATTCCTTTACTACGATAGAATTCTCTCGAAGGTCATCGTGTTACACTGTTCGATTGATTCAGAGGTAAAACACAATAAATGGGAGTTGTAGTTCATCTATGACCCCTCGTAATGTAATGGGCAGCATTGTGTGACCCACGCACCACGAATTTATTAGATGTATGCTGAGTGACTCACATCACTGGCACTTTCTATCCTACTTAAATTTTCAGAGCGCGAGTCAAATGGCGCATTCGCCTCCTCCATTCAATTACCCACCCACCACTCGAAGCCCCGAACTAATGTATGAAGGAAAAAACGGTTTCGAGCAAACTTCAATGAGAGGAATACGAACAGAGGGCGCGGCAGCAGAACAACCTCACCTTATTCCAATCGATAAGATTTGGCCTGTATCGGTGGAGAATGGCGTTGAAGGCGAGACCATCCTTCCACGATGACGAGAAGTTGGTCACGTTCACCCGTGGGTAACCACTGGTAACCTAAAAGCAAGGCTATCATCCAGGGTAGAAACCCCTTTACTGAAAGGGGTTAAACTCACCTTTCGAGCCCATTGCAGCAGAGCGTCACGAGCTGAAGAGGCATCGCTGGCGTGCAGAGCCTCGGAAACCTGGAAAATGCCGCATAATCTAACGCATTGGCAAGTACGTGAACTGTTTGAGAACTTTCAGTACTGAGCACTCTATGTGTGTCGGAAGGGGTCAATCTCTAGCGAGGTTATGTCCAATCACGTCTGCTCGTATGGGCACTGATCGGCGACAAGGGGGGGGGGGGCATTCTGCACTTTTGCTACTTGCGATGGACTTGTCGACCCATCTAGACAGCTCTTTCATAAGCTTGCAAGAGTTGACAGGTTATACCATGATGGTTTGACAAGCTTCCATCTTCACAAGAGTTCACAGGTATCACCAGAGTGATACTTGCAAACTGGAACTAATGAACCAGCGAAAGTGCGAAATGCCCCCCGTCGCCGATCTACGCCTCTATGCACCATCTCTCCGACACAGCGTGACATCT